GGGTTTAGGGTTTAGGGTGCCAGGGGCCTATACCAAAAACTAATTTCAGACATCTACTGGGGATTAACACTCCTGGAGCTTCCAAAAAGGAAGCTGAATGGAGGTGAATAAAAAGAGGCCAAGATTGGATAGCCACAAGAAACTGTAAACCCTAAATCCCAAACCCTAGACCCTAAACGCTAGCAGGGCATCCCCAGTAGTTGCACCTGGTCTCGTAGGCCGGCTCGAACATGGCCGCGGAGCCTCCGACAACGAGCTCTGCTCGAGACTTGCTGTACTTAAAGGAAGGTGGGGAGTGGATCCGTGTCATAATCCCGGTATAACCCTCATAGCATAGGGTTTAGGGCTTAGCTTAGGTGAAAATGAACCCACTCCCCCTTAAGCACCAGTAGGAAGAAACTCAAGCTATATTCCGTTGGGGTCCCTTGGAACAACTAAAGCAGGGCTAGTGGGTACATTCTACTACGATTATACAAGGAGATGTTAGGGGACAATATTTATAAGTATACAGGCTTCTACATTGGCCCTTCATCAATGTCCGTCGTGCGTGTTTCCCAGGTTTCGGGCTGGCCCTTAACCTTAAATTCCTAGATCCTACACCCTATAGTCCCCCTTAAGTAGATAGAAAATGGGGTATATGGGGATCCTATTATAATATATCCAGAGCCATATTCTATCCAGTTAAGGGGGACTGTAGACACTAGACTGCCTCGTGGTTCAGACTTGGAGGAATAAGGTTCAGGAATGGAGCATCACATGGACAAGAAAATGGAAAATTAGACAGACACAGATTCCTTGTATGACTTGGTATAGTGGTATAGGCTACTTTCGATAGACCTCAAAACGATATTCGTAAGTATTTTGGCTCTTGCAGTATATTTAGGATTCAGGGTATTTCTGCTGTTGAGTTTGGTGTTAGGGTAGTTAGGTTTGTAACTTAAGGTTCCGGTGTTTACAGTAAAGTATGCCCCCCCCCAGCATGTGTGGCCATGAGAAGAGTTATGAGTAGCACAACCATCGCTGTACGCAGTTTAGGGTACCCACCATACACCTCGTAGTAGCTATAAGGGTTTTAGACACGCGCATCGCACAAGGCATAAGGGTTTTAGGGTTTGGGGTAGAGTTGAAGTGGGGGCCTGCTTTTCTGGACATCATGCTTCGAAGAAGTTTACCGGCTGAGGCAGGACGCGGGGAAGCATTCAATCAATACTGGACACGATACATCCTTATTTTGTTTACTTGAGCACCTACAGAAAAATAGACCATTGGCAGCTGCCCACGTTAGCCCCACTGAGCCTCCTCCTTGGTAAGCCTTCGGCACTGAGGGACCTCATGAGGCCAGCTTTGGGTTTTGGATTTTGATAATATTGGGGTAAT